TATCCCTCGTTTTACGACTGATACTGATGCGCGTGCATCGTAAACGTCGATTTCCCTCATCGGCTTAAGTATTTACGTCGCTAACGCTAAAAAATTTGTTGCTTATCGCGGGATACCTCATAGTTCGAGACCCGTTATGATGTACTAACCGAAGCAAGTGTCCGATCAATTTCATTCGTAACTGCGACGCGGAGAATGGAATATAAAATCGGCAATAGGTTCGAGGAACAACTCGTAAATTTCGTTAGCCTCCACCGATGTCCCACCCGGGATCGATACTCGATGTCTGCGCTCATAAACCGGCGGATGTAGTTGTAAAAAGGACGTCGTGGCACGATAGTACAAGAACACGTCAACTTGTTACAGGCGCGTTTAACTTCAAACCCAAAGAGCGTAAAAAGTTTGCGAGCACACGTTACATGACACCATAAATCGATCGACCTCGACCCCGATTGACAAACTGGGATGCAAATAATGACGGGGAGGAATATTTAGTAGCCAAAAAATGTTTAGTTAGGCTGGCTAACGCATATATACCGCCGGGAGTACCTCGACTTTTAACTCCCACGAATCGCTCTGGCTATGCAAATATCGTACACTCGCGATACTATAGTTGTCTTGCCGTGAATTAAGTAAAATTCAAGTAAAATAATTTCGAGAATTTACTTTGTAAATCGCGAGATTTCGAGACAGACCCGTAAAGAATGACACCTGTTGACCATTATCAAACCTACTTCTCCTTAACACACTACTCAGCCAACCATAAGGGAACGCAGTTGACAGAATAGAGAATTTTCATCGTACCCCTCGAGACAGATCTCCCTAGCTCCCAGCAGAACATTAGTTCCCTTCGGAAGGAACCTTCCACGGTTGCAACCTGTGAATGATCTAAGTTAGTTTCCTGGGAGGTACGTATGAAGAGACACTCTCGTCGGAATTTGCAAAAGAATTGCGAGCGAGCTGCATAGAAAACTAAAGGGAGACTGCTCGCTGTTTCGTTGAACGCGGGTCTCTCTTCCACGGTGAAAGAGATACTCTCTTTTCTCTGTAGAAAAACAGGCGGGGAGGCTCACCTGGAAAGTCCGTGGTAGCAGTTTCCTTGAAAGAAACGCCCGAACCATTCAAGCGAGGTCTCTTTGAAACACACAGTCAACGCGCGTTCGATCTGTACTCTGAAATGTAAATTTTGTAAAAAGGGATGCCAACGTTGATCGGTTCTAGCAATCACTGAAATTATTTTGATATCTAGACTAGAAATACAAAGGTTTTCTAGTAGTACTTTGTTGTTTTTGTAAATACTTAATGAGATCTCCTCGTGAATATTTTAACGAAATTTTAATCGATAAGTGAACCAGTTTGGATATCTTTCTTTGGATGCCTGATGGAATTTACAAATATCCAGTAAATGTTGAGTTTAGGGTGACGAAGGATTAACGACTTCAATTTTCCGTGGCTCGATTGAAACGTCAACTTCCAGGTTCTTTACGTATTTACAAAAACATGTCTGGGAGCTATATCCCGCGAAATTGTGCAGCACTTTAGTGCCCGAAACTTCCGAATGGAATAGTTCCAACTTCCACATTTTTCACTCAGGGCTGCCTTCGAAACTTGGAAGTTGCAGGTCAGGAAACAAATGTACGGGTTCTATTTTTATCGGCGTAGAAATGAAACGTCGCGAAACGGCGCGCTAGATGAAATTGCTTTTCATTACTTTCGCCTGTGAACTGATATTTTCTATAACGAGCGCGAATGCCAATTAAACTATGAGCATGAAACTCGAAAAAAGAATGGAATGTAGAGTGAAGAATATCACACTTTTAAATTGCTCTACCAGCAATTATATAACAAAGTTTCACTTTGAAGAGTCAAGAAACGTAAACGAATCGATCGAAACGAAATTGCTTCCTCACGATTTGCCATTCCGAGGGAAATATTCAAATCGTTTGAACAGTAACGTCCTCTTTATTTGACTAGTATTGAAGAATTTGCTTCGACGGAAAGCCAACGGGGCGAAAAATGAGGGAAGAAAAAGCGCGACGGGAACGTTCGTCGTTTCATTCCAGGTTTCGACTGCAAAAATCTCGACCCATTCCCCGATTGACAGGTTCGCCGTTGCGTTCGAGACGTGAAACGCGCGGCTGGATCGTTCCCAAGCTGGATCAATTGTTGTAAGACCCATGACCCGCGACGGAAGCTGCGGTTGTCCGTCGATCAAATCTTTTTCAGCACGAAACCGATTCGTAGCAGAATTTTCCAATACGGCGGTTGCTCTATCAGGATATGTAATTTCACGTGTTTCTTTATTCGCGGGGATCACGAAAATCGACCGTTTCGAGTAAATAAGAAATCGTAAAACTGGATTTATTCGGAGACTGGCGATCATATCGATTTCGAAGTTTCTTTGCTAGATTCCTATTTCATCTAGACACGAAAGAAATAGTTATTGTATTTAGGGTTGAACTACGTCGAGATTTCATTTGAACACTTTGTTTCGTATCTCAACGTTTCGTTAAATGTCTCGTACCGTTTTCAAATTAAACACACGAGCTTCCGGCATATAATTTCACATAGTTTCGGCCATGTAATTAAATGAAAACAATAAAAGACGATAGGTTGCTACTCGAGACTGTTACAAACTATGTGGCATTAATCTTGATCTTGACTGTCTGTTAATTGCTGGGCGAAAATACCAATTGCAAAATGTTTCAACAGATGTTCAGGATCTTGGCACTCGCAGTTGAAATTCTTGGACCAAGAACAGTCCAATTCTGCTAAATTGTAACGGCATTACTTCCCCCTAAATTTCTACTTCGAAACTGAAATGGGAACATAGCGAATAAAGTTACATTTATCGTTATCGTAACTTCGAAATGTTTGAATTCAAACATGTTCGAATCGAACATGTTTGTTTGATATTTCACGTTCGTATCTTCACCGTCACCTGTTTGTCGCCACTCTCTGCAATATATCAAAGATGTCGCGCATATTTTACCATAATAAAAAGTAATTCTTCGGTGGGCTGAATCGAACCGCCATCATCTGTTATTTACCACTGCCGCGGTTCACCACGAAACTTCCAATATGCTATTCATAACATTTCGGGGTAAGTAATCCGCCTTATTTTTCGGCCAGTCACTTCGCCAGATTGAAATGGAAATGCGTGAACTCCTCCGTCGCCACAGCGAGTCTGCTCGGTACAATGGTCGTCGTATTCTTCCGGCCAAGTCGTATATTAATTCTCAATCTGCGTGTACTTGCTCGTGGTGCTCTGGAAACTTCTGAATTTACATTCCCAAAGAACCTCGATATTTTTCTAATAGTTCCTGAGACGAGCGATTAAGTCTACGTAAAAATGTATTTATTTTTCAATTTGTACACACAACAAATCTAAAGTTTCCACGGTAAAAATCCGCAAAGATCGACCTGTTTTCTGGAGGGTCAGTTCCTCCACGCCTTGACGAATAGTTTCCCAGCGGCGGTGACGGGAAAATGAGAGAAAAACAAAGTTGGGGAAGCTGTGAAACGCGTTGAAACGTCAGACAAATTGCATTAAATCTCCATTCGCGTCGCATGGAAAATATGAACGCGTGCAGGGACCCCGACCTAAATATTGATACGCCTCGGATGAATTGCACCGGTTGCATCTTTCATGCGATCGGCGTGGTCGATCGTTTCGCGACTCAATCCTGGGTAGAAAATAAAATCACCTACGGCGTCTTCCTGCGTGACTATCGTTGACCATTCGTAAATCATTAGCGTAAATAGACTAACAGATATAACAGAAAATGAAACATCGCTTCCGTTTCTTTCCTCGAGAAAGATTATCTTCTCCGTTCGAAACCAAATCTTGAACAAGGTATTGTATGACCCACTTAGAAAAGGTCTATTAATAACGCCCTGAGAAAGTTCTAAAACCATTAGATGGTTCACCTTTCGTGACTAAGAACTCATACACCGGGTTTTATGCTTTTATCTCTGATCTGTTTCGAGTAATTACGATAACGGTTGGTCCATTACTCGAAGCAATTTGTAGAAAATTATACCGAGTGTGACCACGTGTGTAAAAAATACGAGGATATCGCGTATTATGACTTCGTATCCCATAAATTTCGCGCAATCGGTGTGGAATCTTAACAACCATTACGAAGGAAGAAATTGATCTTAATTTCGTACGTTCGAGGATAGCGAAAATAAAGTTACCCGATGAAACTGATTCGGCTCTAGAGCCCACATAATTCGCAATTTCCCACAGAGTAAACGTTATTTGCATTCAGAGTAATGGATCCAAAGCAACGCCTTTACCATTTAATCCTATTCTACCAAGTTCTCGCCGAGAGATCGATCCAATATACGGATCCCTTGACTAACCACCGAAAAGCCTGCATTTCAGCCAGGTTGGATACTTCACTGATGAGTTCACAACAGTCGAGACAGAATCAATTGGTCTCCCAAGGCCACTGGAGGATAACTCCTACCATTCCGTCCGATTAACCCACCGTTCGATTCTTCTCCACTTTGGCCTGAGTTTGCTTCGTCTCACAGTTGCGTTCGATACGGATGGAGTAGGTACCATTCCACGTGTGTAAATTAACAAGATATGTAACAAGAAATATAAATAACACGATCTCTTCTTTGAAGAGCTAAAGTACGAGAACAATCTCAAACACTTAAGGATGTCCCAACAGTAAAATCATAGCACTCGGGATCAAAAGTAACGTGCGTCAACGTTCCCTAAATCTCTCTCTTCAGGTTTGAAAGCTTTAATAGAAAAAAAAAACTACCAGTAATAAAAAATACCAAATAGTTCTTAGCTTGACCCAATCACCATTTGCGCAAAGCTTCCTCCAGACTGGCGCTCAACAGTTAACGACGTTCCCTCGTAAGAGAATCAGGAGAGTTGCCCTAACCAGCTTAAGGTCCTTCCCTTCCGCGACCCTTTCGAAAAGCCTGTAAAAGTTTCCTCGAGGTACTCACGATGCTCCCAACTTGTTTGTTCCCAGTGGAAGAAGGTGATGGCCCGTACCACGCGCTCGCGACGAAAAATGGCGAACACGACTGATGCTCCCTCGCCTGCGAGCAGCCTTTTGTCGTCCACGACGACGACCCCGTTCACCAGCCCGACATCGACAGCCTACTCCACCGAGGGCTACACCTTCAATTACAGCGGCCTGTCTAGCCTGGGTGGCTACTCGTTGGAGGACTTGAATTACACGGAATTCTGGGTGGACGTCTGGAATAGCACCGAGGCCAGTAACGTAACCGAAAGGTTAAATACCACTGTGCTGTCATCGGGAGGAGGCTACTGCGACGAATGGGAAGCAGCCCAGCACAAACTCTTCCAGGTGAGCACCTTGGCGATATTTTTATACGTAGAGACGCGGTTGTTGAGTAGGTCTGTGAGAGTAGCTAGAGTAAGATAAAGAGAAAAGAGTTGGACTAGAATTTCTATGATAGTCGTTAGGTGTTTCTAGGTGCGATATTAGTAATCGATAGAACGCAACCTTGTTTATCCTAGCGAATTATATTTGATTTACAATTTTTGTCGATAGTCATACCGAAATCGTTTATATCGTCGAAAGTGTGACCGTTGAGGAAATGTCGCGTGAAATGGCGCAACTAAAAATCTCTGATCCGAAAATGATTAAACGTCGACTCTCGAGCGGACGGACGGGTATAGTGCTGTTAATTAATAACAATCCTGTTCACTTTTTAGCGTTGTCAAAGAGCTTCGCGAAAGCCTCCGGAGCTCAAAGGCTTTCGTTCGACGTTTTAAAAATTTCGTTGAATTCGGTTAGAATATCAAACGCAGGGAACAATGCTTCGTCGAGCCGGCGGAACAGTCGTCCTTTTCAGCGATGGATTTACTTTCGAAAGCCATTCTTGCATACGGAGTATTGGATAACTAATGAAAATCGTGAAACGAGTAGGGCACGGAAGGATGAAGCCGCTCGTATCTGTCCCTGATAACGAGAAACTCGCGTAATACTGCACCGACCGCTCGACATTTATCTTTTTCCATGTTGATGGAAAAAGTGTGCTACGAGTTCTAGAAATTCATTGAAAACGTAGTTCAATTTTAATATTTTCAGTCTCTTGACTCTTCATATTTTTCTACAATTTTTCTACTACTCTCGTAGGGAATAGCTCGCACGTGTAATAACGCGACGATATTAATATTTCATTCTGTGCAAGTGCGTATGAAACGGAGACAGCCATATCGGTGCAAGTCGCATCTTTCCTCTGAGAAAAATGTTCATTTCGACGGAACTGTCCTTAGAATAAATTTGAATGCTTGCCGTGCACACAAATCAATATTAACCCTTTCAGACCTGGCGTCCACAATCGAGGGCACGAAATACTCATACTTAAATACGAATGCCCTTATTTGTGCACACGAAGAAAGACCAGTTTTCCCTGAAAACTACACTATTAGGATTCTTGTCTCTCACGAGACGACCTTTGGGTTTACCTTTTTGCCCCAGGCGGCGAATCTGTTCTTCGCGGCGGCGTTCTTGGTGCCGCGGTCCTTCAAGGCCTCAGTTTTGGCTCTTCGCACATTTCTGACGGCTGGCTTCATGCTGGCCGCCCTCTGGGCCGGGATCACCATATGCGCACTGGATGCCATGCTATGGTGCCTGGCCCTCGGCCTTCTGAACGGTATTCACTCCCTCATACTAGCCTGTCGATTTCTGCCGCCTGCGCTCAGCCCGGAGCTCGCCGAGCTCTATCTGAAACTCTTCAAACCGTACAAGGTCAGCAAGAAGCACTTCCAGGAGCTGGCTAAGGAGGCGAGGATACTCAAGCTGGATTCTGGTCAGACCTACGCCACCGAAGGCGTCACACCCGCCGACGAACGGCTGTCGATACTCTTGCGTGGCAGGTGAGTGTCAAACCGGCGCGATTCGAGTTTCGAAATAGTCGTGGAATCGATTTGGGGAAACGGTCGGCGGTATATACTTCGCGTAACCGGGTAGTCGCTTCGACATGCACGGGAAGTTAGCTTTATTGTATATCGTACCCTGCTTACTTCGACGTCTAGCGGAGTAGTTCTTTGTCTTTGTGTTTTTGTATAGCGATAAGTAGTTGGGTAGTAACGAATTTTCCAAACGAGACTTCAATTGTGATCGCGCGTTTGAATATAAAATTCAAATGAATATTGTAGCCACTTTGGTTTTATTAGCAAACATAATCGCGAAGTCTCTTTTGGAAAATTCTTTAGCCGAATAGATGATTCGATACGAAGTAGCGTGCAGAATCGTAGGATAGGAGTTGAAATAACAATACGAGTATAGTTTGAATTGAATTACCATCTAGTGTTCTTTATTAAAATTGACTTTAATACAGTTACAGCCATTAATGCTAAATACAATGATTCAAAATTGAAGCAAAACAATGACGAATCGTTTCGGAATGATCGAGGATCAACAAAATTACGCGAAGTTGTCTGCCGTCATGCGCGAGTTTGAATTTTCCTGTAAAAACACTTTCCAGTTCGCGAGAAATTCACGTCTACGCGAGCATCGCGCGCGTTCTGTTTACATTTCCCATACAAAACACTGGCTTCGGGTGCCAGATTGAAAAGCGCTGTCGGGTCAAAGCTTCCGGAGTTTAAAGAATCGTTTTTCGCGGCTGACGTACACCGTTCGCACCTCGGAGATTTTGTTTACGTTAATATTTCAAAACTGTTCTAATTCACAGTAGTAATATCCCTGAACAGGAAGGGCTTGTACGGACCGCGTTGAATTTAATATTTACAACCTATTCTAAATGAAAATTGTACTTGAATTTCTGAAACCTCTGAATAATAAATAATAGAGGCCCTTAAATTCGAAAGATTTTCGGAGCTTGGAAAATTGAATGAATGGTTATTCGTGGCTCAGGCTGAAGGTGACTTGCGACGGGACGTATTTGCACCACATCAAAGCTTATCAATTCGTCGACTCGCCCGAGTGGGAGGCCATGCACGAGAACATCGACGACGTCTTCCAAGTGACGATCAGAGCCGAGGAGTCCAGCACGTACATCTGTTGGACGAGGCTGAAGTTGCTCAGGGTACTCAGGCATAGGCCGCTACTTAAAGTCGTCCTCAACACCCTCATCGGTAAGGACATTACGTCCAAGTTGTACGCCCTTAACGAGCAGCTCGCTGGTGTCGCCGCGGCCAGTGAGACAACCTCGTCGAATCCTTACAGAGGCGTCGCGAGAAGTCTTAGCGTCGACGCTGTTAACACTGAAACTGCCGGAAGAGTACGCTCGACCACGTGGAAGGCACAGAGGAGGCACAGCAATCCGCGCAGCGACAGTAAGTACACTCCAATAAACTTACTTATCTAGAATTTCTATTCCCATCTCACTTGTACCTTTCTCGGTTAGTATCCACCATGAAACCCTCCAAACCACCAGGTTATTTTATCTACGGCATTTTAAAATACTCCAACGTTTCCTCATCGTTTCAGCTAGCTTTCTCAGAGGTCATCAGACCGTCATTTGACCCCTGAACGAGCTATCTACAATATAACCTAAACGTCAAACCATTTCACCTCAACGATCCCCGACTACACCCCCAGGATCTACCATACCTAACCTACGCCGTATTACGATCTCCCTCAACTTCTACCTTCTAATGTCGTCGACGTAGAATTCTCATCTAAAAGTCCACTTATCCCTAGTAGTCTCGCGCAAACGAAGGGTAGATCTAACGTCGTTACGGGAGACGCGATCGATCGGCATCGAATAGCAATTACGCGGATTGCATGCACGATACGTGGAGCTGACGAGAGTTGAAATTGACTGCTCCACAGGGAGTTCACCCTCTCGGTACTCGCATCAGTACTGGGCGCCCGTGGTGGCGAATCACTTCCCACCGACTTCGCCGTTCACCCCTGGCCAGAACCTCGGGTATTCGTTACTGCCGCAGGGTGTTCAGTTCTCGCCACCGCCAAGGGCGCCCGTTCTGTCGCACCAGTCGTTGACGAGGCAACGCAGCGGCGGCACCAGCGGCGATTACACCCTGCTACCTCAGACGCCGAAGCTCGAGAGGAAACGCTCGAAAAAGGGGACGAGAGAGGTGAGTACGCCCGTTACACCGATATCGGGGCTTTCTCCTAAGTGGAATACCTTGCGAGGATCTCGGGGGACCAATGGGACACGGGATAAGTAGAATCGCCTTCGAGGCGATTGTGTTTACCTGGGGATTTTTCATTTTCTGAAATTGCGGAACGTCTGGGTTGAAGTTCGCGGAATTGGGGAGGTTTCGGAGATTCGGGGAATAAATTCTAGCGCAGGCTTGACTCGGACTGAACTGTGACGTTTTACGTGTACTTTGAAATGAACTTTGCGCAAATAATTGAATTTTATTCAGGTTGCATACGTACAATGTACTAAAAAATGTATAGAATATCAACGATTAAGTACACCTTACACTGTTTAAAAAATAGCAGATACTCTCATTAAAGTTTCACTGTAGAAATACGGATCTAGATGAACATTCACGGTCTAGTTGCGAGTATTCCAGGAACAATGTTGAATCTGCAGATAGGAAAGACTATTTTATTAGGTTGAATGTACTACATAAGCAGAATATACACGATGTCACTACACGATACGTTGGTGACGACGAGGACGAAGCTTAATGTGTACAAACGCATAACGCATGTCTGATGACGTTCACAATAACGATGACAATCACTATGTACAATAATAACAACACGACGGTGTCCATTTCACACATATTCCGCATATATGCACATGCTCTGCGCATGCAACTACATTAATTTGCATATTTACATGCATCCTACCTATACGGACTGATTTGACTATTTGCATATAAAATATACTCTCGCCCGCGAGGAGCACACACGCATAAACACCCCGAGTTCGATTACGAGCTTGAAAATAATTTAGAAACAAGGTCAGTCGCGACCCCAAAAGTCTTCCAACTCTTATTTTTCGACTATAAATCGCTTCCGAGGCAATAGATTAAGGGGGTCATTCTTATCAAAGAGTCCACCAGGGTCCTGGAACGAAACACCTTTCCACTTCTTACCGGGGGAACGATCCGTATTCATAAATAATTTTCTTTCGGGAAGAAATATTCGTTGCTCCATTCCGACCTCTCAACGGAGGCATTAGTTCGTCGCGAAACAAAAACTGTCCAACTCCGTTGAACGGGCGACTGATATCGTAAGAACGCTAACGGCACCGTTGTTCAATAGCTCGTGCATCACGTGCATCTTTGGCTTTTGTTTATCTCCGTTTTCCGGGCTCGAACAGATTGCTCCCCGAGCCGCTGCGACTTTCCGTCGCGTCGTTTCTTCCCCATTGTTCGCGGATGATTAAGTGTCCCCCAGTAGGAGCCCTGGTTTCGCCTGTTTCTTCGTTCTGGGATTCCCCAAGTCAAGTGTAGGCCGCAAAAAAAGCTCGACGAACCGTTTCCCCGTAGAAAAGCTCAGTTACGACGCGTGCTCGAGCTAGGGATGCGAGCCGATATCGAATTAAAGTCCGTTCGCTCGATCAACGCCGCCGGGTGACTTTATTCTTACCCCGCACGCAAAAAGGAGAGCGACGAAATGAGCAGGCATCCAACTGTTGTCCACTCGTGGATGAAGCAGCTGTCGCGAAAAGGGTGGAAACAGACACTCCAAGACACGAGTGTCCGGGAAACTGGCTCCCGCCGAGACACAAATGCCGCGAGGTTAGGCACGTTTTCTTTCTTCCTTTGTCTAAAGGGAATCTCGCTAATCCGCCATTTACCGCGGATACTTTTTCTTTGGACGAATTATTTTTCTTCCACTTCTTTCCCAAATCGAAACAGAGTGTCTGGTTTAGATGCTGTAATCTAAATCTACTCACGAAAGTGTGATAAACGTTTTAAAATGCGTTTGAAGCGACTATCGAATTTACAACACGTCAGGTAATTCATTGCCTGAAAAGCGCGGTAGCGGTTGCAAAATATTGCCACTGAAATTTATATCTGTATGCGCATATTCGCGAGCGCGAGATGTGTTCGGAATATTGAAAACACGCGTGTAAAATCGAGTAGACGTATTTTAAATTCGAACGCAGCGCGGATAGAGGTGCGACCACATTTTTTGCACGTCATTGCGAATATTCAGCTCGCCGTGTGCATACGCGAACGCATTGGTTTCAAAACGGCGTCTGACACGAACGGTTACATTCTACTTACGGCCGGCGTAATTCCTCCGTTCTAACGAGTGCAATTTCTAGTCATCGTTAAATCATCATTTTCCATTTGCGCGATACAAAGCGGAACAGGGAAAAGTTTTAATCGTGCGAAATAATGCTCGCGTAATTGCGTTGAACCTGCGCTACTCGTACCTTCAGGTCTACCGTAAATAGAATCCTTAGACGTAGTCGCGAGTATTATATTATAAATCCGAGACGGGTGGAAGTAAACGGCGTGCAAGAAAATCGCATGACGGATCTGCTGCACGCAGAGCGAGAAACTTACAGAAATACTCGTTCAACACTCGGCAAGAAAATTCGATAAACTTCGAGCGAGTGCAAGGACACGCTTAATCGCTCCTGTTGTTTGATAAGTGTTCGTAACGAGGCGTTCGCACGTTCATTGCGAAACGGGAAAACGCGAGATTAGAGATGAGCTTAACAATGGCGTCGATGGACATGCATTCGTGAGAAGTCTTGTCGATGATACGTCAACTATAGGAATTCCCACGCGAAATGACGAGAAGTTATCGGTGATTATACGCCGTGGACGCGTGGGACTGATACGCGAGCAAATTTGTTCTGAAAACGTGACCGATGGAGGCAATTGATAAGACAAAGGACCGCGTGTTAGGGCGAATGTTAAGAACGACGTGATCGCATGTAACGCTTGGATATTTCACAGCCACGTGCGCACACGTGTTATTAACTTTGCGAGGCATATTAAGCACACCCGTGCGGGCGATAAAAAATTGCGTCAAATTCGCGAGAAATAACTCGGGACAAGTTTCTAACATAGAAGAACAAATACTTGAGTTCGAGTTCGTCAGAAAGAGAATGGTTCACAATCGAGTCTCATTCAACATGAATATATGTTTGTAACAGTGAGAGAAAATACGAGCCAAAGAGCATGAACATGTTTTTTGTGCTATAGTCTTCCACTGATGACGAAATCGGACCATTCCTCAACAAGGCAACCGTTTCACCTATTGCGCCACACTTATCATTGTTGACGACGAAACCTGTCGCCTGCAAATGACAAATTTCCCCAGCTATTCTGGAACAATCGCGATAATATTCTACCTGGCTCCTTTGGCTTTTAGCTTTGACCTTTTCGTACGACACTTCAACCGACAGCCGACGTCAGCGCAGCGAGGAATAATTTTTTCAGCAACCAACAGAGTCGCCGTACCCAGTGCAACATACGAAAAGCTTAGATTTTGGAACTCGAATAGCCTACACCTTATAGTCGATAGAATCGTCCATTTGCAGATGTGCTCGATGAATCGATCAAAAATTCAGAACGATAAATTAAACGTATACAGAATGTGACACTTTAAATTACAGTTACAGTAAGGGCGCATTTATAAAGGTATTACTATAACGACAAGCGAACGGCGTGGAAATTATGAGCTTATCAAGCACAATTGAAAATACAAATGCGCCGCGTTCACAGAATCATCAAACAGCATTAAAGCGTATTCCGCTGTAACGGGTCTCAGCCAAGCGTTTCACCTCGCGACAGGTCTGTATATTAACGACTTCTACAATCAGATTTGCATAACGCAGCCTGAAGTATACCTATGTACGCTGCAGCGTAACCAAAGATCGAGAGAAGGGTCGGACAATCATCTGGAAGCGCCGAGTTACAGTGTTTGAATTAGCATTTGGATTAATACCAAATGTGTTTGAATCTTCGTACTCGACGAATTGAAACTTCCCTCGATCTTCGGAAATGCTTTCGAGTAGCTATAGTAGGATTTAATGTAGTAGAAGACATGGTAATACGCAAACTTATAATAAAGTAGTTAAGTTTGGACATGTGGGGGGGATCTACCCTCGAGTACTTAATGATTTAATGTGTTATTTTTGATTCGGGGACATTCTCTTGAAAAATTTGCATTCTAAAATATGGTTCTCTTGTGAAAGAAGACAATATTTCAAATTCAATTTTTTTTTTTTTTTTTTAACTGTTTCAGGTGACGTTCGAGACGCCCGTATGACGGTCGCTCGACGGGGAGGGCCCTGCCAGCGTGCCTCTTCTGTCTCTATCGCCGCAGCGTTCCGCCTAGCCCCGTCGAGATCTCGTTAAACCGAACCATCTTCAAGGGTTCATCCTCTGAGGCGTCGGTCGCCGCTTGTCGCCACGGCTGCGTGGCCTAATCGCACGGCCTATCAGCTGACAGAGCCCTACGTGCCCGCGCGGTGTTGCGCGACAACCCGAGAGACGCGGACGAAAAGGACACGTAAACACCGAGTGACAGTGCTCCGCGGACTTCCGGTTTGGCTCGACACGATCGGGAGAGAAGGAACCACCGGTTCCGAATCGAGCCTAGTCGAGACGCGCGACGCCCAGATACACGTTCATATCCCGCAAGTGCTACGCCTTACACGTTCTTATTGACACTACACGCATACACACACAAACACACATACGTACACACAAACACGTGCACGGTTATCTAACAGCGTCGCGCGTTCGCGATCGATCCAAGTGAAAGGAAAAAGTGCACGGTGAGTCCCCGAATCGAGTGAACGAGTGTCCCCCAAAAACGAGTGTCTTGTTCTTGTTCCTCCTCGAAGGTAGAGGGATGAACGTCGAGGAACGAGCAAACTCGCCCCCCGTGTCTCGCGTGGCGAAACTGAAACGAGAGCAGGGAGACGCCTCGCTACTCGAATTACACGCTCGATTGTCGGAATATATCGAATCCACCGAGCCTGGCTACGAAAGGTTCGCGGGAGGAGTCGGGACTCGGGCGAAATGGTTGTTTTTTTATTAGTTTGTGTGACAAGTCCGTTTCGAGAAACATCATTTCGAGATTGTTGCTTGCATCGGCTGGCAATGGATTAACATATCGAGTCGAGGATGGGTCGAACGAGTGGAGTGTTTGTATCTCAATTTGTTCTTTTAAAGCAGCTGGTTACCGACGATGGGAAGTGAGTCTGAAAAGATTCACTGGTCCGAGCAGGAGGATACACCATTTGCCAACATCAAATTTCAATTGTACGCCTGAATTTTTTAATAACAAAGATGGAGTTTCGAGGAATGTTTATGTTAACAGAAGGTCATAGAACAGAATGGAGTATGTATCAGTTACAAGGTAAGTTCAATGTAAAATTGGCAGTACTTAATATTCCCATGATAAAGCGCGAACGGACTTATTACACAAGCGTGTACAACGTAGAACGTTTTGAATTCTCGGATTCGAGTTAGTTTCAGATTTTACCGAATTAATGCACCGAGTGTGGCTCGAATCCTAGGGTCGAAATAACGTTTAAAATGAAATGTTGGAATAAACTGAAACAGCCAACAAAATTTATTTTATACTCAATTCTCTGTTTACACGGTCCATGCATACGGTTTCAATTTAACGCGGTCCAAAAGAAAAAGGGAACTGGTTTCCATGAATTTTTTTCCTCGCAATGTTGGTTTCATTCGTCATCTATTCGATTAATATTTCGCCCGTTTCCCGCCATAAGCGATACGTCTTCTGTTTGCGCGATGTTATGCGGAATGATATCCACCGTGTAAAAAGAAAATTGAGCGCATTTTTATTCGCTCGGAGAGCCGACGAGACGCTCTTCCGTAATCGAATCGTTCTTTTTCCGTTTCGTTTCTACGAGGGCTCGCGTTGTCGACGCTTCCTCCTCTTTCCGCCACTTGCGTTGTGCGTTCGCGCGAGCTGAACTTCCGGTTGGGAGACTACGAATCGCGTTAAACGTGTTTGATCGTAAGGAAACACCCGAGACGGCGCATTGTGATCTTTCGTTAACAGTCGAACGTTGAACGATCAACAAAGACGGGCGAAATTCTCAACGGAACCAAAATTTCAATGAAGATACGACGATATCGAGCAAAGGATACACTATTGGTCGAATAAAAGTTTGCCCATCTTCGACGATCAGCGATCGAGGGAGAGTAGATTATAATCGTATACTTTCGACGAGCGTCGCCACCTTGTACACCATTACATCGACTGTGATTATAACGGATATAATTGTTAAGTCTTTCAGAGAAAACGCTGATTAAATACACGTACGGAAACACACCGCAATGCGAATTAACGACTACATGATAACCAGGGGTCCACGCGTTGGATAAATTCAGACGTTTGACAATTGATTCACAGTATTTATTTTTAATTATTGCTCGTATCAGGCAATACATTATTCCAGTAATCGATTTCTAAATATTCTGCAAAAAGAAATCAATCGTACAGGCGGTTATTTAAATTGGAAACTATAATGCAATACAGTATCCATATTTTTTAAAATTCGTTTGCTCTTCAAACCGACCAGTCAACGATTAAAGAGGAAAAACCGGTACACCTTACTCAATTATTATTTTAATTAATCCACGGAATTGTATTTTTCTCCGACCATCCAATTATATCGGACCAGTTACCCTAATTTACATCGGAAAGACGTCTGAATTGGAGGCATCGATCGCGAGGACTCCCGTGGCAAAATGTACGCAACAAAACAAATAAATGAATTAAAAACGAGAAAATACAAAAATGTGATACGCCGCGAACGCAACGCAGAATTTAAAATTAAAGACGAGCCGGGAATTGTTGCATTCGCGCACCGAGACGAACGAAAACAAAACACAGGGCGCTAGATCGCGCGAAAACACACAGGGAACCGCACACAGACAGGCGAGGGAGGAAAACGCGAGTAAAAAGATAACTGAATTAATAAAAAGTAAATAAATAAACGAAAATACGCGAGAACGAGTACGACGAACGAGAGCGAGGGAGAGCGTAATCTCCAGACGTAACGCAATAAGTGCTTTGTTAAAAAGAATAAAACCTGCAATAAAGTGCTTCGAAAAAAAAAAAAATATGTAGTTGATTACGAAAGGGTTTAAAGAGCAAAAAGTTATTATTAAGGCGAAGTAAGAAGTAAGACTAATTAAACGTCGCGTCGCGAGATATAAATAGAGAACACGTAGTGGTAACAAAAGAAAGCAAAAAAAATTAAATAAAAACAAGACGAAAAGGAATGATGACGAAAACGAAAAAAGAAAAAAAAAACAAAACAATGTGTGTTTGTATGTTTCTATGTTTATATAATCCCCGCGTGTGAGAGCGAGGCTGTAGAAGATCTAGAAGACGCACAAACGATCTGAAACGACCGTAACAAACGGACAAGAACAAATACATCACGAATGAGAAACTAAACGGCGAACGAAGGGGGTGAGAACGAGCGTTGCCATATGCCGAGGGGTGAAATTCGGGCGCCAGGTGCACGCGTAATGTAACAACGATTACGCGGCGTAACGTTGGTTGTAAAACGCGTCGTGTTGCGTTTGGCAAGAATTGTAGCGCGTTGTAGTCGTCGATGCCATGGGCGCGCTACGTTCGTCGGAAAATATATTTCGTACCTGCCAGAACGATGCTGCGACGCGACGCGATCCATGTTCTTTTCTCGAGGGCGTGAACAGAACGTGCGACACGCGTTTCAGTTGTTGTCGATGGCCACTGCCGTAGAAATTGTGAGCGTAGAGAGATAAACACAGCTAGTAATTTTTCTTCGTGACCTAGGTGAGACATTTTCAACGTGCACTCCTCTGTTTCTTATTATTCATCCGGTAGTTTTCTCGTAGGCGAAGATATAAAAGGAGATACAAGAGTAAACTTTTTTTTTCCAATCGAATTATCTGTTCTCGTTAGAGAAGTTTTTACAACGAAAACTCTGGTGTAGACACAAAGTTCCAATAACGAATGAAAGTTAAACAGCTTCCGTATTTGTTATTTGTTCGAGTAAAATTGTAACCTGTTTTAAGGCTACCGAAGGATTATCATCCCTACCATATCGTTTGGCTATCATGCTGCACTGTATCCAATCTCTTTGCTCAAAAGCGTAAATCTCTCTTTCTCAAACAGAGACAAGGTAATACGGTGTAAAATTGAGAGTCGCTCCTGGTGGTGGCTTTGAACAGTCGATTAATTTCGATTCGTCATACGAGGAGAAGTCACTGAATTTTATTCGTTGTTCGAAATAAAATTTGCCCAACTCTGATAGACGATGCATCATGATTCCCGCGTGAAAGAGCCTTCGACTATAGTCGCTTTTCCAGACACTCTTACGCTTTCGTGTATCTTCGATATTTAACCACATAGGAAGCCAACGAGTTTCACGATCGATCGAGATCGGTTGACGTCACTGTCGAGAGCATAGAATCGTAATTGTATAGTTTCTATGACAATACGTACGTGGTAGAAGTATCTCAAGAAATCCAATTTTCGCCGATGTTGTTCTCACTCGACCGTGGACACGTTTACATATTGACGCGCTTATATTTTTATATATGTATAGTAAAAGAATTGTAAAATAGTATCTATAGTGTTGTACATAAGAGACAGTATTACGTATCGTGATAAACGCAGTCGAACGCTTTGAAACCTTTCTCGTGTCGCTAGCTGAACATCAGAGGTGGGCGAAATTCGTAGGTGAATATTTCTGATGACGAATAAAAGATCAGCAACATTTGGGTTGAATACAAATTTTTGGTCCGAATTAATATTATATTTCACGTTAAATGAAAAAATGAAAGCTGTTTGGTCGAGTACAAGCTCCGGATACATAGTGCCACGTTTTTTTTATTCGAATACTATTTTGCCCATCTCTGCTGAATGCATCAATGTACTCGAATATTGCATTAAATAGATCTCTGTACGTGTATATCATCCTTTGTGGTCTGAATTATTTTGCCAATTGGCAATGTTTATTTCTTCACTCGCGTTATGTTCTACTTACAATTATAATCAAATTTCTATTAATGGAGACTTTGATTACGATTCGAAGAGTAACGAATAATCCTTCGTTTATTAAAAATGCATCCTGAATTGCACACGTGTCTACTTAATCAGCGAAATAACACGAAACTGACAAACGAGCATATCAAAATTAACGCGACTGCAATTCCGTGTATTTGCGAACGATCGACGGTTATAAATAATTTACAGGATAACGAGTAGTGTTTCACAAATCCATCGATATCGTTGTAGTGGATATAAACGCTCTGATATTGGCTTGCATTTAACAGTAATTTTTCTTATCGACGAAACCGTTATTATCTGTTTGGGTTCGATTATAATAAACGTTTTTCAAAATAAAAGTCATCGTACCGTTCACGTGTGCCTTCGTTAATTTCAGCTCTCATCCTTTCCTGTCCTTCTTCAACTGCGGGTCACATATCATAGCGGTGTTTTGTTAAGCTCCACCGGTATGAAAAATCTAAGAAAAAAGGACCTTAAGACCGCTGGAGACTGAAGTTAAATAGGGCTTCCAGTACTTGTTCTCGATGACTTGGACAACGCAAAGAAAATTCATTGTTGCTAGGGTAATAATATACGTTTCATAGTCTTTGCGTAGAAAATTAGATGATCTTTTTTTAACTTCTTACTCCAGCTCACAATTTATAATGTAATTAATATAATATACACTACTGTGGTATGTTGATTTCTTTCTAAATTTTCACTATTTCACTCTTAATCATAGCTTATTGCATTTCGAAGAGGACCAAAAATTGATATCGATAGAATGTTTCCCATTTTGTAATAAAAATCACTGTTAGACGTAAGCCAGTATCAGACTTTTACTAAAAATGTTTCGCAAAGTAGTCTCTAGTTTTCGAATTCGTAAAATGATCGCATCTTGCACAATGATAGTGTTGACGATCGACTGTTCATATTATTTCGGTTAGAATTCACAGACACTTGTCTCTCGATTTCAAGATAAAATAGCTCGCGTCAGGCGATTGATTCGTTCGGCACATCGGATATTGCCAGTCAAAGAGTTAATATTGACCGACAGTAACCAAGACGGCCAGTGGGCGACGGTATCAGTAGTAACGGACCGTGCTAGTCAGCCGCAACGCCAAAGCGTCGATACCTCCTAAGAAAACTTCGTTCCGTCGTATTGATTTCGAAATCGATAAAAAAATTTGTGGCAAGCTGGCGTCGTAAATCGAACCCTCTTTATATTAGCTTCATACTTCATATCTCCCTTCTTAAATTCGACGTAAATTCCCATCGAAAAATTTAATAAAAGGGAGGGTTTGTTATCGTTTCATTCGATTTGAGGAATTCAATCCGTATCAATGTTTAATTCGTATCGATGTTTATCCGAAATAATTGCTGTTTGGACGAACCAGTTTTCAATTGCATAGGTCTGTGACTGTTCGACTAATCCAAAAGTCAAATGTTGTATAGATATACTTAAGCATTTAGTGAAAAATAGAGCAATGAAACGATATATACAAATTCAAGTAATAATAATAGATGAACTTTCAGAGGTTCATTTATAATACACATCGCACTATTCAAGAAATGTTTAGGTGCTCGATCGGTGCACACAAACTATTCGAATATTTAAGTATTCTTAACTATAATTGGACTCCCAATTACGATCAGGTTAACGAGGAAAGAGCAAACTCGCGTTACGCGTTCTTCGATCGCGTCGATATTGGCATGAAACCAGCCAACAGCGAATGTCTGGCATCATTTTAGGCCGGGTTATTTACATACGAATGGAGACCACGACGAATGCGTTTGCCAAACATTTTTTTTTTTGCCGTTCGTTCGATACTTTCGACATCTGCAGGCCGATCGAGGAATATGTCCCGTATAATGCGAACGAGGGTACGAGCTCGCGTGGCAGCTGGTGATTCATGGAACGCGTGTCGAGACCGTTAATTGTTTAACCAATAATACTGCTTCCGGACAACGCGCGGAACGTAATTAGCGCTTGATGTTCACGCTCTTCCTGGTGCTTCTTTTTTGTCTCGTTACGCGTATTATTAAAATAACGCGTTACCATAATTCGATGAGCAAACGTTGGATTCATTTATAATTAAAGGATTTTTTAATAAAACACAAATTTTACGAGTGGAATGAAAGCTAAAGGAAAAGCTTTCGTAACTGAATCGCGGCGCGATGACACTTGAACTTTTATTTTCGTCATTTGTTCCTTTACAAAGGCGCTAAAAATGGCTGTTTCTATTGCTACAGAGATTATGGAATTTGGAATATGTTTTTATTTCGTTACCATGCGGTGTCACACGATTCTTCTTCCGTGAATTCGAGGGAGAAGGAACGTTAAACAAGATACAGTCGAGGGGTCGAGTAAAATAATCATGTTCCACGCAAAAGTATCCTGTAATGTCTCGAGTCAACAGAAGCGAACGTTCGTCAACAACGTTTTTCTCGTTCTGCGACGACAGATAAATGTTGTTTTAATGTCATTTGAGGGCGACAAGGTGACACCGATAATACGTATCAAGTGTCAAGTCTTAGTTCGTCCTTTGTGGACTTTGCTTATCGATTTTCAATTATTGTCGTGTCCGCGATGAATATTCCTAAAGGGATTGACGTGAATCGATGGAAATGATTACAGAAAGCGCGATGAAAAGTGGCCGACGGCTTTTATGCAAAAACGAGCCGAGTAGCAGTTACCGAGGAAATTTCCTATCGAAGTCGTCGTTTATTTCTAGGACGATAGAATCGTGCTGCGATAGAGTGCAAAGGAACGTTAAAAGTATTACTCCATAAATCTCGTGTTTCTCACTTCTTGTTTCATCTTCGACCACTCGCGGCTCCGCAAACGAAGGGAAACCATTTAGAAAAGGAAGTGTGACAAAAACAGGAGTAGAAAACATAGACAATTATAATCTCGTTTGCGTAGAGTAAATTACAATGAAATTGAACTCGCGAACATCGTTCTCTTTTTCTATTTAACCACATCCAAGCGTGAAGTTGTATCGAGCATCTCGAGAGCATCCATTTCAAAGAGACTTCAATTAAACATTGACAAGAGGAACTAATTTAAAGTAAACGAACCGAAAGCCTCCATTAACAGCTTTTCGTTCGCTTTCGTTCCCCTTTTGAATACCGTATAATGTTTCGAACAAACATCGCGCCGGGGAATGGACAATAATTTCCACCGAAATTCGTTTCCACGGGCGATCTTGAAATTTCCACTCGCTGAAACGGTTCAACGCGACATGGCGCACACGTTTAATCAAATCATATTTTCCGACGAATCGCAGCGTACCAAAGAGTGACTGGAAACCCCGAGAGTGTCTTTTCCGACGTTGTATTTCGCGTTATCGAGAGAATCGGAAAAATGTAAACGAGCGTGTAAGCGAGAGAGAGAGAGAGAGAGAGAGAGAGAGAGAGAGAGAGAGAGAGAG